ACCTATTCCTGCTTTCCCAATCTCTGAATGGTTCACAGTGGAGTATCACACTAAAAATTCTGGACAAGTGTGTTTTTGCTGTTCAACAGTTATTTTCTCTCCTGGGATCATTATATTCTACTTGTAAAATAGGTCAGAACTTGTGAATTCTGTAAAAATTGAAAGCAATAATTCAATCTGGGATTGTTCCTGGGAACTCCAGCATGCATGGCTTCTGGGTTGGCCTAAGGAAATCTTTCTCAGTTTTGAAAACCAACTCTAAAGCAGCACTGTCCTGTTTCCTTGATTCTAAGATGCATTTCTTCACATCCTAAGGATTCAGAAGTTAGAATGAAATACATAAACCAAACTAAAAAGTGAATTTTTTTAAAAACCTTGCCTTTTTTTAAACAGGGGAGTAAGTTATGATATTGCTTATATCAGGAGAAAATTAATTTTAAATTTGGCAATTCTCACTTCAATGTCTTCAAAGAGACTATACCATGATCGAACATGGAAAAGAAAAGTTATGTACACAGAAGACAGATCATCACTGCCAAGCAATGCAATTGCCAAAACAGATAGAGTAGAACATGGAGTTTCAAAACCAGCAGAGGAGAGTGTGGCCAGTACAAGCACCAAACACGACCATGGTTCAGATCATGAACTGATCTGAATGAACTGATCAGAGACTGAATATGTCTCTTGTTAAAATTTCTGGTTGGCTTTCAAAAGATGCTCTTTGACTTCTAGGTATACAAAATTCAATTAAGAATGGTAAAAATATACTGTTATCCAAATAAGAAATGTAGAAGAAAAATTATATTCTTTAAAGGCCTCAAAATTGCACTATTAATCTACAGGTGCTATAGACATAAAGGTCACACATACATGTCATAAAAGGCAATGTGGTACATCATGCTACTACGTGTAACTACGCAAGGTCAAAAGTCATTCAGAGCCCATCTACACTCCAAGTGGGAGGACAGCTTAGTGTGTGTATGATACAGAAGAAAACAGTAAAGAAGGAAACGGACAAATGTATAATGCTGTGAAGAAGTACAAATACTTTTATGTCAATTTATTCTAGTCTTTTTCCCCCTCCACTCCCCTCCTTTAGAAAAGCTGCTGATAGAACAATGGTTGATCAAGAGGTCAACAAAGGTTTGCAAAGGTTTTCTGTAGGGAGGCCTTGGAAGCCAAAGTCCTAGGGCCTGACTTCTAACAGACACACATCCTCACCACAACGCAATGGTCTCATCTGCCATCCAAACAGAAGCATCCTTGGAAATGGAGATGTGCGCACGGGCCACAAGAAGACCACTTATCTCTTCCCAGCAGTTCACCTTTATTTCAGGACCGTCCCCACATCATCGGGGTGACTTTTGGGAAGCACAGCAGACAACAGTTTTGGCATTATTTGGCCTTGACAAAATTCTCATGTGCCACACTTCATTGTCTCAAAGGTAGCATGGCTCCCCTGTCTACCTGATGGGGTCATGGTAAAATCCTAATAAGAGAACATGAGAGGAAGCCTTTTCTAAACTGTAAGTACTATATAAATGCACATGTTTACCAGCACCATCATAAGGACATAATAATGTATAGCACCAAATATTAACACCAAGCTTATCTTAAAATATAAACACCACACATGGGCCGGCCCGGTGGCACATTCGGTAGAGTGCGGCGCTTGGGAGCGCGGTAGCGCTCCCACCGAGGGTTCGGATCCCATATAGAGACCGGTCCGCTCACTGGTTGAGCGCAGTGTGGGCGCGACACTGAGGGTTGCGATCCCGTTACCGGTCACGAAAAAAAGACAAAAAGGAAAAAAAATTAAAAATAATTAAAAATAAACACCACACAATACCACAGAGTAAATTTTAAGAAATAAAGTGCAAAGGGCACCCTGTGCTCCTCGGACTAGGCAATGTAGACTAGGGGTGCTGATCCCAATTGAATCTACGAGTTGCTTCAGATCTTTTCATGACTCGGATTCTACCTAAGGGCTTATTCTCAAGTTTTGAATAAAGTGTCAAGTGTTTCCCTGTTCTTACTCCCCTCTGCCTCTGGCAACTTACCTGGTCCAATGATTTCTTATCAGTCAAAGGAACATGTTTCTGCAGAGTTCACAGCAGAGGCCTATCTTCCAAGAATCTTTTCTGACAACCCTCCCTGGGTCAGGCTTCCTATCTGCCTTTTCTATCAAAAGGCCCAATATATTCCCTTCTTCTGCCTCAGCTGAGTATATGACTCAGCATTTTAAAACCTGACTTTTTTTCTTTTTCTTTTTCAAGGAGTCCAACTATTTTGCAATGCGAACATTTAAGTTCATCCATCAAATACTACAAATTTCACTTAAACACAGATGAGACAAATAAGTTTCCTCACAAGCCTGGAGAATTGTTTTTAGCCCAAACACTCCAAGACAATACAGATGGAAGATCAAACCTTCCCTGAGGAGGAGTCCTGCAGTTCAGTCTGGAGGCCTCTGCAAGAGCGGCAGGAGGCAGCAGGAGGCCTGGGCTTCTGGCCCACAGAGAAGAAAAGAAAATCTCCTCATGGCCAACCTGGAACTGTTCAAAAACATGGAATTCTCCCCATTACCCCAGTATTTCCCCTTTCCTATACACAAAAACTAAACATATCCAATCACCAAATATTCCCATCCTAGAAGGCAAAGAAACTACAATTATCTGCTTTGACAGAGAGTCATCAAAGGCTGGGACCATTCAGGATTTTGTTTTCCCACCATCTTAAGCACAAGGCAGCTGTTATTGTTCAGCTGGAGTTCAGTATAAACCTTACAATGTTCTGCTAGCTTACCCTCTCTTTTTAAAAGTAATAATAATTTTGAAAAATTCCATAGTCATTGAACTCCCAGCCTAGTGTCTTTACTATAAAGCTTTTCCCACAGGATAGAGAAAACTGTGTATTCGAAACAAATTTCTGAGCCAAGAAGGTACCAGTAGGTTATTCCCACCAGAGAAATACAAAGGAATAAATAATAAGGCAGATTGAAAATCAATGGGTAAAGCGTTTCCAAAGAATGGCTGAGTATTAATTCTCTCTAAAGTATCAAAAGACGAAAATATATGGGCCGGCCCGGTGGCGCACTGGATAGTGCGCCGCTTGGGAAGCGCGGCGGCGCTCCCGCCCGAGGGTTCGGATCCCACATACAGACCGGTTCCCGCTCACTGGCTGAGCGAGGCGCGGGAGCAACACTGAGGGTTGCAATCCCGTTGCCGGTCCCTGGTCCGGTACGGGGGCAACACTGAGGGTTGCGATCCGTTGCCGGACACGGAAAAAGACAATAGACAAAAAAAAAAAAAAAGATGAAAATATAGCAATGAGTAATTAACTTTTCAAAAGAGGCCCTCAACAGTAAAGCCATTGAACACACTTTTATTTAGGAGTAAAAATCAGACATCAGAGAACATCGCTTTCATTCCAAAATTTTGATCCACTGTAAAGAAGCCACGACGGCTCCATTTTACTCATTATTTGACTATTCCAGCTAAGAATTCACCTACAACGATCAGTGTGTATGTATCCACCATGGGGTGTCCCCAAAGCCTGCCACCTGTCCTTCCTCCGTCTCTATTTCTTCCATTACAGACGTGAATATGCACAGAGCCAGATGCCAGCAGTGCTGTCAAAATGAAAATAAACCTTTTATAGGGCAAGTGAATGTTCCTTTTGAATTTAGTGTGCATATTTGTCACAAACCCACACACAGATCAGTAAGTTCAGGAGAAACCAAAGTCATTCCTAAACCTTTGGAAATTCTTGAGAAGTAATAGACTTCCAAGACCCGAAGCAAGAAGAATCTGGACTTGCTTTATAGAAACCAAAGCTGACAAATCCATTATAAGGTCTCCAAGTGTGGGGCTCCCTCCCTCTATATGCTTTCTTCCTTTAAAGTTTATCTACGTATCTAGCACATAATTGCCAGACTGTCAGGTCACTTGCTCAATGTCCACCTTGAGCAGGCTGAGAGCTATGCAGCGATGCTAACCTACTATGCACTGGGTGCTTGATTCTCGCCCAACTACTAAACTGACCCCTACATACTAAGCAAAACTCCAGCTCCTCGGCTTCTTTTCTTTGTACTACCAGGTAGAACTAACTGCTGCTCTCACTCC